TCTTTCTTACAATTTACAAATAAAATTTTTATTATAGTTTGTAAATCAATTATTTATTAATTTTTATAGAAATATTTTGAATATATATTATTTGTCAATCTCATAAGATTTATTGATTGAAATTACAAATATAAATTCATTGATAAAAATAATTTAAATTTAAATTTAAATTTTATTTTAAAAATTAATATGAAAAAAATCATTATCTATATATATGATGTGTTAATTATAATTTTAAGAAATAAAATTATATTTTGCGAGCTAGTCTACAGGCTCGCTAACCCGTCAATGTACAAGTTAGATTGAATTGGGTTTTTCTAACTCGTTTATTTTAATAGGCCAGCCCAACCAGCTAATGCGTTAACCTGTGCGGGTTAACTCACAGGCTGGCTCACAACTCGTTTGCACAACTCTACTCATATGTATATGAAATCATTTAAACTATTATTTTATTAGGTTATATATACATATATAGAGAGAGATTGAAAAGAGGAGGATTTAGTTCCTGTGCGTGCGACCAAAGGATAAAGCAAATTGAAAAACTATTGTTGTTATTATCTTCCTAGGCATGCGAGCAACAAGGCTTGATGCAAACAAATCACTAAGGGAAGAAAAAGAATGACAACTTTTCAGGGAAAAGGACAATTGTTAACAGCTTTATAGGTGTTTATATAGCATATATGAATGTATACCTAAGTGACGCCTCCAGAAGAGAAACCGATTAGGGGATAAAGGAGAAACTGGAAGAGTTAATTGCAGGAGAGCGGTCAGCGGCTGCGTGAAGGGGTAAGAAAAATGAATGATCAGAGGGGTAGGGTTTTCATTAGGTTATAATTTTAAACTTATAATAATTTTTTTTATTATGGTTATCATTATTTAAATAAATATTTATATGAAGAAAATTTTAAAATGGTAAGATATATAATAAAACTTAACAAAATTATCTGACTACTATGATTTCAATTATTATTTAGTTTCAAACATTTGTTAAATTTAATTACTTTAATTATCACTTATTTTATATACACACACAAATTTTTTTTAACTATTTTATACCCAATATTTAATCATGCCCTGTAAAGTGCCTAACAACAATCTACGGCCCAATACAATTGAGAATGTTACAGTGCTTATCAAAAACTTCTTTACTCATTATTATAATTTACAATTTTCTTTTATATAGTTTTATCATTATTATTATCGTCATTATTACTTACCTTTTTTAATTCTTTCTTCTCATATTCGTGGAAATTTGTAACATTATTAAGGGTTAATATACAATTTGGACCCCAAACTATAGGTCTTGAGGCGATTTAAATCTTAAACTTTTAAAAAGGTGTATTTTAAACCCTAAACAAATATTTATTAAATTGAGGCCTAAAGTATAATTTTTTTCAAATGAATTTGATGGACATTTGTTGAAAGTTAATGGTAGAGGTAAAATTGCTCCAACTTTAATTATTTAAGGTTCAAAATGTACCTTTTTAAAGTTTAAAGTTTAAATTGCCCTTGGATCTCTAGTTCATGGTCCAAATTAATATTTAATCTTAAATTTAAATAAATGTAAAAAATTCAAATGTTATTTGTCATAATCATATTTTTCAATCAATAATGTTTTCTTTAAACCATGAAAGCTTTTAGTTCTTAATATAAAACGAAGTTAAAAGTGATTAATGCTTTTTTTCATTTTATCCTTTACTTTGAATCTTTAGACAACAATTTACTATAGTTATTAATTGTAAAGAATGATAAAATTAAAAAGTTACATATTTTTTAAATAATTTTAAAGATATAATTATAATTTCTTAAAATAAGCATGAAGTGAAGTAAAGTTGGTTAACTTTATTTTATATTAAAAGGTAGGAGGGAGTATGATATTAATATATATTATTGCTGATAAAAAATATATATATTAGATTGAATTTATAGAAAATTCTATCTATAAATGACAAATATAGAGTTTTTGAGAAACAAATGGACCTAGTTAATATGGGGTCAGACAAGAAGCCCTTTATTGATCAAACTCGAGGCCGGGTTTGAACACCCACTGTTTAAAATTTATTTTTTAAAATAAATTGGTCATTCTAATATTACATGTATCTACGTTCCAAAGTACAAACTAAAACATTATAAAATTTAAAATAAGTAATACAAATTCTAATTTTGAAGAACAAATTTAATTTAAAGATATAAGGTATCAAAATATTTTGGGATTAAAATAAGTAACTTGAATTTAAACTTATTTCATGCTTAAAATGATTGGCCTCAAAGGCTCTTTATTAATTTATAAAAAAAATCCTAAATTTTAAAATTAAACTCTTAAAAAATGACTTTAAAAGAGTAATCTAACACATCGGACTCGTATTTCTAATTCTACGTAAATAATATGATTCATTTTAGATTTCATGCAAAACATAAAATAATAAAATAGGTAACTGATTTGAAACACATTTATGAGGATATCTTTGAAGATTGAATTAATCGCAGGAACAAAGTAATTAATGTGCACCAAAACAATAATAGTTCTTTTCCACTTTGTGCTTGCATTGGATTTTTTTTATTTATAATATTTAATATTCAATACTATCAACAATTATTTGTGAAGAAAAAACATATATTAGGGGTGTTCAGTCTGGACTCGTCCCGATTGATCTGGTATCATCTCGATCATATCGAAACAGATTTTGTCCCAACCCGAAAATAATCGGGATGGGACTTTACAGGACGGGACAGGAAAGGGGATCGGGACAGGACGGGATGGGACATGGGATTACCATCGGGACGTCCCGTCCCGTCCCGAATATTATGTATATTATTTTTTATTTTAATTATATTAATTATATTAATATAATTTATACTTATATTAATTATATCAATTATAATTTAATACTTATAATTCTTATTTAAAACTAAAGTTTTTTTATATTGATAATTTTAATGGCATGGAGTAAACATGGCGATATCTTCCTTTATAGTATATTAATTATATTAATATAATTTATTTTTATATCTATCTATTTAATAACTTTTATTTATAATATATTTCTTGCTTTATTTTTAGAAGAGTAATTAGCTTAGCACATCTTCACTAAAGTAGAAGAACAATGATTTAATATTGTATTTGACTTGCCTGTTGTTGTCAATCTTATAACATAAAGATTACCTGTATTTGTTATTATAATGTGTAGTTGTGATTAATATAATTCAATAATTAATTTTAAATTATTGTCATTTATGTACTTGTGTTGTTTTGATTTTAAACTTAATAAATTATATAATTTAAAATTTTAATAAACGTTATTATCCAGATCTTTTTTCGATATTATTTCATTTATCGAGACGGCGGGACGTCCTAATCTTGTCCCGATCCCGTCTCGACTCTTAACGAGATGGGACGACTTTTGGGACGGGATGGGACACGAGACCAAAATTCAGTCTTAATTTTTTTTTTAGGACGGGACACGGGACGAGAGTGTTCCAATCCCATTACATCCCGTGAACATCCCTAACATATACTATCAATCATTTTGAATCCTAGTCGAGCTGGGCCCTATTAGGAAAAATCTCTATCCTAACATGATCTTTTCTTTTCTTTTTATAAAGCTTGCTGAATTACTATACTCTGTACTAAAAAATAATCTCGTAACGCTTGACCTAATATTTATTGGTAGGATTTTGTATTTCTTGTGTTCCACGTGTGAATCGCTTACAAGAGATCTACATATACATATATATAATTTAACATAAAGCTGTCGGGTAACTGCCTTGTGAAAAACACTTGTCTCACAGCGCATGCCTTGAAGATGAGATCATCAGAGAGCCAAATAAAGTGATGAGCGTCTTCTCTGTAAACCCACCAGCCCACATGCTTCTCATGCCCCACAATCACAATTCATCCTTGTCCCCCAAACAAGTTTATTTCTTTTACTTGTTTTTGTTTCTCTAATATCAGCAAAGGAAATACAGAAACGAGTTATTGTTGTGTGATCCTGAGATTCATACACCCGATCTCATATAATAGGTTATGACTTATTATTCTTGACGTCTCTATTTTTTAGATTTAATTTGATTAGATACTAATTAAAAATTTTCAAGAATACATTATTTTGTGGATTATATATATAATACAACATCTCATATCTGATGCCATTGGATCAAATTTAAATATTGCCAGATTGTAAATAGAATATCCCTTTCAATGACATCTTCTACATTTGGGCACAAAATGGAATTATGTGGAAATTTTAGTTCCAGTAGCTAAATATGTGATATCTACATGCATCTTCTATCCTGAAACTACAAGAGAATTAGTAAGACGGACTACGAAGTAAAGGTATATGAGAAAAAGGTCCAAAGTTCTTGGAATGAATTAAGGTTAAATGTCTGCTTGGATAATCTTAAAAATACATTCAAACTGCATTTGATATTTGTTTTTGTCAAATCTAACAAATGGTTGGATTTTCAAATGAACTTTTATCAAATACAAACAGAAAACCAAACACACACCAAATGAATTAAGGTTGTAATCTTAATTCACTTGAAGGACCTTGGGCCTTTTTCTCAAATAAATTAATCTTGGTCCTTAGCAATTTCCCCTCAAACCAATGGTCTGCAGAAATCGGAGACTCAATGGAACGACTGGATAGCTGTATGAGTTTGGTGGGGTTGGCCCAATTTAAAAGCCCAATCTAAACCCGTACCAAGTAACATGGACAACTAAGCCCATTAAACGTCTCACTAAATTTGATTTTGATTGGTTCAGAATCCCAATCTTTACTTCTTCTTCTTCTTCTTTTCAAATAAGTTTTCAGTATTTTAAAATATTATTGACAAATATTAAAAATCATAAATAAGTAAAAGATTAACGATTAAAAAGAATCAAATTAAAACAAGTTAATAAGAGAAAAATTAAACGAACAAGCAAGCAGTGAAGCAGATATCATGGATGCCGTAGGATCTTATATAAAAAAGAAAAACCGTTGATCAAATAACCATAGATAGATAACGAAATAACCAGAGTGTAGCAAGAAGCACCGTTCAGATCTTTCTGCCGCCAACGGCAAGAACATGGTCCACAAGCAAGCGAATTAAAGAAGACGTAGAAGGAGGAGGAGCTGCAGAGATAATAGGGCGAGCCATAATGGCGCTACCAATTTCATCGATGAAATCCCAGTGCTTTTCCCAAATATGCCCTCACCTCAAGCAACCGTTACTTTTGTCTCCGGTTTCAATCTCATTTCCGACTCCTAATTTCAATCCAAGTAGAGTTCGGGTTATTATATTCTGTACCGCGAAGTCGCAGACGGAACCGGTGAAGAAGCGTTCATCTTCGACGGGCAATAAGAAGAAGAGGAAGAAAGGCAAGGATGGGGTTGGTGATTCCCGGGCTTTGGATTTGAGTGATGTTGAAAATGTGAATGATTTTAGCGTCGTTGAAAATGGGCCTTCTAGTTGCAGTTCAAGCTCCAATGCTTCTTTCTCATACCATCCTACTTCACTGCCGAAACCACCAGTTGGTTTTGTTGTAGACGATCAAGGCAAGGTTCTACTAGCTTCCAATAAGCGACTGGCGACACTGGTGAGTTTTTCTTTTTAATGCAACTTACATGATTTTATGTTGAATTATAGTTTTCTGTTGCGAATCTTGCAGAATAAATAGTTTGCCTTAAGCTAAGGAGTACGAGAGGAAGTAAGTTTGGGCAAATAAAATTTATGTGGCCGGATCGTGGCTCAAAATTTCTCATCACATTAAAGTTTGGTGATTGATAGTTAATGGCCTTGTCATGCCAAAGGAAAAAAAAAAAAAAAATCTTACTTTGCGAAAGCATTCGATTTTAGAAATGAGAACTGAAAGAACCTTAATTTTGTGTCATACCATTAGTGCCCTTAGGATGTTTTTGGCACTTGGCTAACGGGTGAAAGTTATGCTTTCATTATTATTATTTTTTTATGGGGTTGGAGTCTCACTGCGCTCCTTATATGTTAAACTTTTGAATAAATCATTAACAGGTTGATCCAGCAAACAACTTTCCCTTAGAGTGTGTCATAAGAAGAGTGTTCAGGAGCTCCCAAGATGATGAATGTATGTTGCTCTGTCCAGTTGATACGTAAGTCAAAAAAAAAAAAAAAAAAAGCCCTCCAAGTTGATATCTCTGGACTTGTATGACTTATCTAACATTCCATTCGATATTTTCTTGACTATGGACTATGGAAATTTACTGCAGGCCTGTTCAAATATTAAAAAGCACAAATGTTGAGGGATGGTCAGCGGTAAGTTTGTGCTATGCAGTCGAAGTCTTAATTTTTGTGTACATTTATGATGTTCCTATTATTCAGTACTGGCGACTCAATAAGATATATTTTTTACAGAATCGTTACTTATTTCTGACGCTGAGATTATCATGTGCTATCATTCCTTGTATTATAAGGTCTAACTGACCTCGAAGTCTCCCATCCACATAAAATAATTCATGGCTTGTTATGAAAAGAAAGGATAATTCCTTTTGCTCATTTTTCTCGTCAAACCTTTTTATACCAATTCGTATTGTGCTTCTGTGTTTTTAGGTCAGTGATGAGGAAGTTGAATCTATTCTTCCTGCTGCTGCTTATGCACTAGCTAAGATAAACATGTATCTAGTTTATAGTGGGTACGTTTGTATTTTACTATCATCTAGAAAGCCATAAAATTAATTAGTGTGTTTGATTGGTAAATATTTCTGTTGTGTCCATCAGATTTTGTTATACAGCACGTGGTGGTTTTTGCTACTCTGAAGAGGACATATTTGATTTTCACACAGGCAATGCTCCTTTCACTAAATTACTTATTCAATGATACCTAAAATTTCTGTGATCTGTATGATCTTAGGAATAGGAGAAAAAGTTAAATTCAAATATCACTGAGAAACAAAAGTTGTGTTCTATATTTCTGATTTTGAAGTGGAGACCATAAACTTTGTATTTATAGCCTCTCACTTTTTATTATCCATCACCATGTGTGTCTACTTAATAGACTAAATTAATCTGTTGTCAGCCATTATCAAGTTATTGCTTAATTTTGTCTCTCCCTGAAGCATCGAGGTCTGTTGCAGAACTAATTTTGATATTTGGCTAAGAGTTAATGCGGGAGTTTTTTTTTTCTCCTCCAGATGATGGTAAAGAAGTGGATGGTTTGCCGACTGAAGGTGTTGAAATTACTTGCTTCAATCTGGTAACCTGACTTGACCGCCTTAACTTACTGAAACATGTGATTGCATTTTTTTTGTTCTTTTATACTTGATTATATTTTCTTTTCTGGTTGTTTATTAGCAAGGCAATAGAGGTGCCTTGCTCTTGCATGTCTTTCCAGAGTTTGGATAAGTTTATCTTGTTATAGTTATATAGGATAATCAACAACAACAACAACAACAAGCAGCCTTATCCTACTAGGTGGGGTCGGCTACATGAATTATATGACGCCATTGTGCTTTATCATTTAATAAGTTTTTAGGAATATTATTAATTAAAAGGTCTCGCTCAACAATCTCCAAAAGTTTTCTTTTTGGTTTTTCTCTACCTTCTTGACGGAGCTCAAAATTATACAAGATAATACAACAACAACAACAATAACAACAAGCCTTTATCCACTAGGTGAGATCGGCTACATGATTGCAAGACGTCATTGTGCTCTATCAGTTATCAAGCTTTTAGGAATATTATTAATTAAGAGATTGCATTCAACAACTTCCAAGAGTGTTCTCTTAGGCCTTCCTCTATCCCTCTTAATCAGGCTCAAAGTTATATGTTCCACTCTTTTCACTAGTGCCTCCCATGGTCTTCTTTGTACATGCCTAAACCATCTTAATCGATTTTCTATCATTTTTTCCTCAATAGGTGCTACTCTCACTTTTTCGCATACGTGCTCATTTTGAATTTTATCTTTATGTGTATGTCCGCACATTTATCGTAACATTCTCATCTCTGCTACTCCAATTTTATGCTCTTGCTGTCTCGTTAGAGCCCAGCATTCACTACTATATAACATGGCCGGTCTGATAGCAATACAATAAAACTTTCCTTTAAGTTTATTAGGCACTTTACGGTTGCAAATAATTCCTTTAGCTTTTCTCCAATTAAACCACCCAGTTTGAATCCTATGTGAAATACCCCCCACTGATTTTGGCATCATTTTGAATAATGGCTCCCAAATATTTAAACTTATTCACTTGAGGTATATAAAAAAAAAAAAAAATTGTGTGCTAGTGTAACTACAAGACGGAGCAGTACTCTAAAATCATGTTGTTGTTACCCATACAAAGGCTCCTCTTGGTTTCCAATTAGCTAGCCTCTTGTGTTGGCTGGTTTAATGTGGTTGCTTTAGTGCTGAATTTGCTTGTTCACCTATGATTTGTTCATCGTGTATGTCAATAAGAGCCTTAATTATTAGTAAGATTCATTTATTGTGCTTTTTGGTTATCTATTTATTGATAATTTGCTGAAGCAACCTTTGACCTGATTTAGTACTTATTAGAGCTAAGAAATAAGTTATCAGGTTTTTTGGCTCATTGACTTGTAGTCTTGTGGTTGTAGGATGGTGCACACTACATGATTTATACACCATCTGATCCGCTTCTTTTTGTTGCTGTGAAGGTGAGCTTCTGGACTTGAAATTTTTTTAATAATTTATCCACTGGTTCAAAAGCAGCTGCGTTCCATCTTTTCTGTGACAATTGTTCTCGTTATAAAAGAAATTTTATAGTTGACTGGAGAGTGTTTCCCAAGAGCTATCGTCAATATGCTGCTAAAGATTTTTTGATTCCCATAAGTCATCTGATTGGCAGGAGAAACATGCCTTTTCAAAGCATAACCCAATGAATTTATTCTTCTTTTCTACAGGACAAGAACGGGATGTTGCAAATTGCTGATGATGTAAGTGGATATATTCATTGAACTATGTAACTTGGTCATTGTTTTCTTTCTCAAATTCAATTTCATGCTCCATGTATTGGAAGTTCTGATTGGATAGAATGCCACATCAAGATTTGTTGATGTTTTTCTACCTGAGGTGTCAACTTTAATAATATCGTGTTCATTCTCATTCTCTACCAAATTGTTTTGCTTGAATGTGCTTACGTGTTGAGTCATAATGTGAAGTCCATTGTTTTCCATTTTAAGGGGTTTAGTGTCAAATTGTCAATGTGAGTGCGAATGCAAAGCATGGGAGATACAAGTTCTGTTTCTGTAAATATTAGAAGTTGCTAACATCAAATATCTGAGAACAGGAACTGCTGGAGGACCCAGCCATCATTAGTGCTATAGATGAGGAAACCGAGTTTAATGCCCTGGTGGTATGTGATTCATTCTTCCAACCCAAACATTTTTCCTTGAGAAAGGTTTGAGTTTGAACTTTAATTTCTCTGTTTGGTGTTGTCATACAAGCAGGAGGAAGAAGCCGCACTTCTTGATTCGCTGATAGGAAAAAGATAACCGGATAGGCTTTGACAGTCAAGCTTTCTCGATGCTTATGAAGTTTTTTTGCCTCTGAAAAGCCTCGTCCTTGTCTAACAGAAAAATTTCAGTCCCCTTTTGTGTAAATGATAAGTTTTGCTTGTATGATATCTATTGCTGAGGCCTGAGGGTACTATCGATTTATTGCGTATGTTAATTGTTCACATAGCCCCTACAATAAAGTTATTGAAACAGTCATATGCTCATGCAACTCAGAATTATTGGGATGTTTGTACTTCAATTTATTTAATTAAGTCTAGCTGCTCTCTTACTGGCATTTCTTTCGTGTGGCGTCTACATTTTGGTTGGGAGTTCACCACCATTTCTTGTTTGTTGTTTTGCTTCTCTTTTGATCATATGATTGGGCTGTATGATGTCACACTAGTATTTTGGTCTGGCACTTGTATTGCTTGTTTTGGATAGTTTAATTTGGTGCCTACGGTAGGCCATACGTGATTATGTGACGGCTGTAAGAATTTTGGCAGACACGTGGTGTATTGTTATCGTGATTTTGGTATTTTGAATTAAACTGGGTTTTATGTCCCTGGGATATATGGAATATTAACTCTGAGTTATAATATAAAGAGAGAGGAGAGAAGATTTTATAAGTACAAGTTCTTACTTCACTCATATTAAATATATGTACTTCAAAAATAAAATATTTTAACATTTAATAGCATTTATAGTATTTAATAAGGGTAAAAGTGTAAAAAGATATGAAAATCATAAAGATATTTTATAAATAGAACCAAAACAAGCGTATTAGTGAAGTCTTGTATTGAGTATATAGACCAGGTCGAGTTACCCATTTATGCTTTTTTCTTTTTATAAAAGTAAACTTTATGAAATTTATGTACTGTCAATTTCAAAATATCCATTCTTATTTATTTTTTTCGTACTGTAAATCTCACATTTACCTTCTTTTTATTATAAGGCTTTTATTATTTTTATCCTCATTTTTTGTTAATTGTTTATTCTCATTTACTATATCATATTTTTAAAATTTTATTATAATATATTTTTAAAAAATTACTATATAAACTTTCAAGAAAAGTCATATGGACAATTAGATATTTCTGCCAATCTACAATATTTGTGAGTTGTCAATTTCAAAATATTCATTCCCATTTTTTATTATAAATCTCACATCCATCTTCTTTACTATGAGGTTTTTATTGTCTTTTATTTTTACCATGAGGCTTTTGCTTTTTTACTCTTATTTATAATAAAAAAATTAGAATGTAATGTGGAATCTAAAATGTGTTCAACATATTTTAAAATTTAAAGACTTCATATTATGTGTTTTGTTTGGGTACTGACATTATATGAGTTGGGAAAATCTAATTACACGTCTTGATTTTTTTTTTTTTTTGAGTGAAAAGGGAAGTATCATTAACTTGAAGCAGAGTTATGCAAACAGTTACAGCAAGAAAGCATTACATCACTGATCTAAGGGAAGAAAGACATATATATGAGTATGATTAATAATAGCTCTAATATGGAAAAGAACACAGTCCACAGCAAAGGTTTCATCTGTGAAGAGACTATGATTTCTGATGTTCTAAAGTTTCCAACAAGTGGTGTTAAGGCCAATCTTTCAGGAAATATTCAATCGGGGATTAAGTAATTGACTAGTGAACCATGGAATCATCTCCCATAAAAATCAAGTAGTAAATCAGATGGCAAAACTTTCTACCAAACGATGGTAGTAAAGGGGCACTAAGTACATGATCCATAGTTTCAACATGAGAATGGCAAAGGAAGCAAGTAGGGTCATCTGTCATCTATCATCTACATCTTTCTCAGTTGGTAAGGAGTTTACCTATGGTCATTAACCACGCAAAAGTATGGATCCGTTAAGCCACAGGTAGTTTTCAAACCTTGGACCAGATTTTATCAATCGAATTCCAATCAATACATTGACAAGTAATATATGTTGATTTAACAGTAAAAGCACCATTTCCAGTCAGGTTCCAATAGCAAGATAGCTTTCCCAGTTCAATTATGTCAAGCTTTCCCAGTTCAATTATGTCAATAGAGACACTGGTAATCTTTTGGAGTATGTGTCGAGATAGCAAATGATCGAACAAGCTCCATTTTCATTGCCCATATTCATTAATGAGATCAGAGACTAGTTTGAGTAAGTCGGATTTGTTAGCATTAAATTCTGGTTTGACTTTTGGGTAGGAGATAATGGACCCCTACATCTCCTATCTTTTGCATGTCTTGAATTTTGATCATAACAAACATATGCAATACTCCATGTCCCCGTTGCTGCATAGTTGGCAACTTTATTAATGGACCATTTAGACTTTAGAGTTAGTTAATTTAATGCAATAAATATCTCTACATCCAAGTCTAGTTAATCAACCATACAAGCTCTCTCTCTCTTCATTGCTCGTGAGTTTTTTTTTTTAAATTCAAAATTGTTATATTTAAAACATGTTTAGACATTAAATATGGATACATCTCCCAGTAGAAATTAGAATTATGAGAAGAAACTAGCTTCTTCTACTAAATTCAACCCCGTTTACACATGCTTTCTCTTCTCTTCCCCTTTTTCTGTAATGAAAAAGTTTAGGTGAATTGAATTATGAGAATTTACTAACATCAGGGCATGCCTTCAGATTCAAAAGAGAATTTATAGATCATCTACTAATAAGATCCTTACATTGAAAGTGAGATTTAATTTTATAACCTTATAAGTAATGGCCTAAATTCTTACCACTTAGATTAACTTTTGTTTTTGGTACAAACTGGACCGACTTTTGTTAATTCTTCTCTTCTCTTTTTTCCCTTTTTCTTCCTTTTTTGGTTCATAGATAATAGATTATAATACAAAATTGGAAACAACCCGAAAACTCATTTAGCCCAAGTACAGGCCCAAAATTCAGGAACTCGAATTAGTTGCCTTCGCCTCGAGCGAGTCGAGCTCTGCTTCGCCTTCGCCGCCGGTGCATTAGTTCATTTCCTACTTTCTTGGTCCTCAATTCATTGCTATGTTCTTCAGCTGACTAGCACCGTATGAGAAACTCCAATCTTCATCTTCATCTTCTCCTTCTCCTCCTTCTCGGTTTGCATCTGAGTTCAGTCCTCTCTTGGAAAAAGGATGAGTTTAGAAGCTGTAACCAGACCCCATTTTGCAAGCGAGCTCGAGCCCGCAAGACGGGCTCCTGCTCTCTTGTCGCCCGCGACGTTTCCATTTCCGATGGCGACGTCGTTGCCAAGCTTGTTTCGAACAGCCCAGAAATTGTTGAAGATCAAAGTGAAATCAAGCCCTTGATTCTCACCCTGTCTGTGTACCAAGACGGGATAATGCGGCTCAAGATTGACGAAGATCATTCTCTGGGTACACCCAAGAAGCGCTTCGAGGTTCCCGATGTGATTGTGTCTGAATTTTCGGGCAAGAAGCTTTGGCTTCAGAGACTTTCAACAGAGACCATCGGCGCAGATTCTGGTCCCTCTTCAATTGTGTATTTATCGGACGGTCATCAAGTGGTTCTTCGTCACGATCCATTCGAGGTTTACGTGCGTGACGGAGCTGGTAATCGAGTGGTTTCCTTGAATTCTCATGGATTATTTGATTTTGAGCAGTTGAGAGAGAAAAGGGAAGAGGATGATTGGGAAGAGAGATTCCGATCGCATACAGATACTAGGCCGTATGGCCCTCAATCGATTAGTTTTGATGTCTCTTTTTATGGGGCTGATTTTGTGTACGGAATTCCCGAGCACGCGACCAGCTTTGCTTTAAAGCCTACTAGAGGTCCTCAAGTCGAGGAATCAGAACCCTATCGATTGTTTAATTTGGATGTTTTTGAGTATCTTCACGATTCGCCATTTGGACTTTATGGGTCGATACCTTACATGCTTTCACATGGGAAGTCGGGGAGGACATCGGGGTTCTTTTGGTTGAATGCAGCTGAAATGCAGATTGATGTTCTAGGAACTGGGTGGGATGCAGAGTCTGGGATTTCGCTTCCTTCATCCCAAAGCCGCATTGATACCTTTTGGATGAGTGAGGCTGGTATTGTTGATGCATTCTTCTTTACTGGTCCTGAGCCCAAGGATGTGATGCGACAGTATATAACTGTAACTGGTGCTCCGGCAATGCCACAGCTGTTCTCAACAGCATATCATCAATGCAGGTGGAACTACCGGGATGAAGAGGATGTTGAGAATGTTGATTCAAATTTTGATGAGCATGACATTCCGTATGATGTTTTGTGGCTTGACATTGAACACACAGATGGGAAGAAGTATTTTACCTGGGATAGTGTTCTTTTCCCACATCCTGAAGAGATGCAGAGAAAGTTGGCTGCAAAGGGCAGGCACATGGTTACCATTGTGGATCCTCACATAAAGCGAGATGAGTCGTTCCACTTGCACAAGGAGGCCACGCAGATAGGGTATTATGTAAAGGATGCAAGAGGCAATGACTACGATGGCTGGTGCTGGCCTGGTTCGTCGTCCTACCCTGACACATTAAATCCTGAGATACGGTCATGGTGGGCTGATAAGTTCTCTTTCCAAAATTATGTTGGTTCAACTCCTTCACTTTACATATGGAATGACATGAATGAACCCTCGGTCTTCAATGGTCCAGAGGTATGTAAATCACTTCAAAGATACAATTTTGGAATAATAAAACTTTTGGTCTCTTAAGTTTGCTTTTGGGATGATAAAACTTTTGGTCTCTTAAGTTTGCTTTAATCAAGTCTTAAAAGTTCTATAACTATACACAATTACACCACATGTATGTCTGTGATTAATATGTCTTTAACCTAAATATTAAAGAATAAGTCACCTTGCTCACATGCATCTTCCGTTCACTCCCCTTATTGTAACCCACCCTGCATCCTCTTCAAATCATAACTACTAATTCTACATAGTTATGAAAATTTAGACTTGATTGATAAAGATTAAACTCCAGCGACTAGATTGATAACTGAGGCAAACTTGAATGATGAAAAATTTCATCATTCGTATAATTTTCTTTGTAGTTTCTTCATTTCAAGATTCTTATTGTAATATGTATAAGTTGCCTTTGCAGTATTTCCTAGTTAAAGTCATTGTTATTTGCTTCATTCTTAACTAGCGTAAAGATACTCATTTTTTTTTTTATTTGGTACACAAAATAGATGATGCAGGGGTATGTAAGATATACTATCCATGCTCGTAATAATTATAAGTCAAATTGCACCAGCCATAAATTGAGAAGTCCTTTCTCTTAACATGTAATGAAGCTTAATATCTCTCGTGGCTAAAATTTTCACTGGTCCTACAGATCTGATGGATGTCAGCACACTACTGCTTTCTTTTTTTCTTTTCTGATCGATAATACTGTAATTTTTAGTGATCCAAATCCTTGTTAATTCTTTGCCATTAACTAGGAAATATAATATACTCCCTCTGTCTTCAAATATAAGCAAATTTTAACCAACTCACAAAGTTTAAGAAAGTTAGTTTATCTTAATAATTATGTCCAATGGAAAATTTTGGACTAAAATGTCCTTGTAATTAATCCTTATTTTCCCCATAATTTAATGATATTATCATTTAATGAAGGGCAATTTAGGAAAGATGATATAAATTCTTCTTGAAAATTGTTGTTTCGCTTAAAAACAAAATTTGCCAGAAGCCATATGAAAGTATTGCTTGCATTAAGGAGTTTACTATGCTAGTACTAGCTTCACACTGTTCTTAAATTTCTAATTTCAAACAATAACGGTTTAACAGTTTCTCCATGTAATGCTGTAAGTTCTTATCTTGATGTTTGTTCTGTCTCATTAGAGCTCTTGGATGATGTATATCCTTGTGAGCCTTGAATTATTGGCACATATATTCTTGTTTCTTCTGAATTTCTGCTTTAAAGTTACTCCCTCAGTTCTTATATATAAGAAGTTTTCTAAAACCTTTTTTTATCTTTAAATATAAGAGGCTGTCAGCATATTTTTTTAATAAATGGATGATTATACCCTTATTACATTGGAAAGGGAAAAATATAAGTACTCTCATTAATTTACTTTGAAAAAAAGAGATTCATTTTTTATTTATAATAATTAGGGGCAAAACTAGAATGTTGCTGTGCTTTTAAGTAGATAATCAACTTTTATTGGTTTGCGTGAGTTGGTTAAAACTATCTTATATATAGGGATGGAGGGAGTATATGACAATCAAAGTAGATAGCAAACTTTTTTGTCTATTTGTAATACACACAAGGAAAAAGGATTTATCTACTTTCATGACATGTCACTTAAGTGTTATGTCCACCTCTAAATTTGAGATTGAATATGTGGTTTGCTTCTTGACCATATCCAGGTGACAATGCCCAGAGATTGTTTACACTATGGAGGTGTGGAACATCGGGAACTGCATAATGTCTACGGTTACTATTTCCATATGGCAACAGCTGATGGGCTAGTGAAACGTGGTGAGGGGAAAGATAGGCCATTTGTTTTGTCGAGGGCATTCTTTGCGGGAACTCAAAGGCATGGAGCAGTTTGGACTGGGGATAACACAGCTGATTGGGATCAGCTTAGAGTTTCTGTTCCAATGGTTTTAACCCTTGGCCTTACTGGACTACCATTCTCAGGTTGGGATTTAAAGTCAATGTGCTCTTGCAGTTGCTGGTGTTCTTTTCTTTCTTTGTTTTTTCCCCCAATTTTTATCTTTAACTACATGCTTGTATCTCAATTACATCTTGCAGGTGCCGATGTTGGGGGCTTTTTTGGGAATCCTGAAACTGAGTTATTGGTTCGCTGGTATCAATTAGGTGCTTACTATCCTTTCTTCAGGGCCCATGCCCATCATGACACTAAAAGACGAGAACCATGGCTGTTTGGGTAGGATTTGCATTAAGATTTCATTCTGGCTTTTTATTATGCTTGTTTATTTTCTTTTTTGTTAAACAAAGTTACAAACATTTGGTACTTTTTTCTTTTCCCTTACCAAGACCTGACTGCCCTATTTTATAAGTTACTTGTTAGGCAATTGATTGTCATGATCCTCTTCCCCTTTCCAAAAATATTAGTGAATATTTTATTAAAATAATTAAGATTACTTGGTGAAAAAATGATATTGTTAGTCAGCCTCATTCTGAAATAGGTAAACCTGCCCCCTGATGTATTATACCAAATTTGTGTAAATTTATTGTCTGGTCTCCGCTTTTGGAGTTATTTTCTTTCTCAAAACATGGGTGCTAGATGGCTGAAATACATTATTTGCCACCCCTGTGGCCCTGCCACAGTAATAACTGACAGAAGTTGAATTGCATATCCTAATATTCACCTTTTTTATATTTAACCTGAGCTACACAAGTCTATTTGCAAGGATTGTTAACTAATGGTTCTTACTTTATTGCAGAGAAAAGAATACAGAAGTTATAAAGGATTCGATACATGTTCGTTATGCATTGCTCCCGTATTTCTACACTTTGTTCAGAGAGGCTAACTTAACTGGTACTCCTGTCCTGAGACCATTGTGGATGGAATTCCCATCTGATGAGGCTACTTTTAGCAACGATGAAGCTTTCATGGTTGGAAACAGCCTTTTAGTCCAAGGAATTTATACTGAGGTGCTCTTGTGATTTACCGACTACTTCTTTAGTTTCTTTCAGTATTTTGTTTGCATATCCTTTTCATTTCATTTATTCTCGTCAGCAGCTCTTAAATTAATTTCTGTAGTTCTTTCTTCCTGCTAGGGAGCTAAACATGTATCAGTCTATCTACCTGGAAAGCAATCATGGTATGATCTAAGAACTGGAAATGTGTACAAGGGAGGGTTGACCCACAAGTTGAAGACTACTGAGGAGAGTATCCCTGCTTTCCAGAGGGCTGGAACCATTGTACCAAGGAAAGACCGATTCCGACGAAGTTCCACACAGATGATAAATGATCCCTATACTCTGGTATGTGTACCTGTTTTGCTGTAAACCTTCTGATTATGCATGCATGAGTAGGAGTCACATGTCTAACTTCATCTCTCAAATTCTTTTATCCTACCTTTCTCTGTTTCAATATATAGGAGGTCTTGGACTTTTGGCCTTTTATTCAAACTCTCTGCAGTCATATATATGTTACCATGGAATTTGGTCTTGCTAGTTCCCTATGTACTTGGCATTAACAGGACCACTTTGAACACTCAGGGATGTTTTCAGAAAATGTTTGTTGCTTGCTGTGTAATATTTCTGTTGCCACCTGACCAAACAGTAGAATTAAGTTGATGAATAGTGATGTGTGCAATTGTATGGTTTGCGTGTTTTGTTGTACTATTAAGAGGATGAGAAGCATAAAGAACTTGGCTAACTTAATGTACCGCATCTGCGTGTCAATTCATAAAATTTTGTCATTTAAATATTTAACAACTTTAAGTCAATTTTGATCTTATTTTTTAAATCGTCTGATTATGTCAGCCAAGCCTGAATAGTTTGTTTATTAAACCATTTGAACTCGAGTGTCTTGGCTTCACTTTTCTTGTTTATGCTCCTTTGCCAGTATCTTAAGGAGGCTGATGACGCCTGACAGTAATGGAAATTAAACTATTTGTTTGCATCATAATAATTGATGATATTATTATTGTCACTTCACTTTGACAGGTCATAGCTCTCAACAGTTCTCAAGCAGCTGAAGGTGAACTCTATATTGATGATGGCAGTAGCTTTAATTTCCTGCAAGGAGCCTACATCTATCGCCGATTTGTTTTCGCCGATGGAAAGCTTACATCTGTGAATCTTGCACCTGCTTCCCAGGGCAGTGTTCAGTATCATTCAAATGCTGTCATTGAAAGGATTGTCCTCTTGGGATATGCTTCTCGCTCAAAGAATGCACTGATTGAACCATCCAATGAAAGGGTTGAAATTGAGAATGCCCCTCTTTGGATTCAAAGATCGCATGGTTCTCATGCTATGACCATCCGGAAGCCTGATGTCGGCATTGCAGATGATTGGACGATAAAAATTTTGTAACACAATCAGATTTCAACCTCGAGGTTCAAGCAAACAGAGTTGAGGCAAGAAAATCTTTTAGAAGAAATGAATGCGGTTAATGTGGTTTGAGCAGATTGTCTTACAATTGAATTTTGAAAGTTGCAACTCTGCCCACCGCAATTTATTTGATGAGGATAATTTTGTATCATCTAAAATGGTATGTCCTTTTGTTGTGTTAATTGCAGAAGGGAATAACTTGTTATGAAATACCCTATTAAAGGAATGCTAAAAGATAAACATGGTAAGTCTTTCCAAATTGACTGCATTACTACTGTTTATTCGCAGCTAAATCTTTTGGCAAATGAAAAATCAAACGGCTTTTATGTTTAGAGAGAAGTCATTCAAGCATTATGTTTCAAGTCTTGAGCAAAAGCATTAAGCTGATGGATCTAGTTGGATGAGCTCGTAGGGAGTCCCAGTCATAATTCATGCAAAGCCAGTGAGTTGTGATTTAAACAATTACTATAAGTAGTATTTATTAATAATTTTGAAATATAAGTGATTTACTCCACTTTTATAAATTCGTTTTCAAGAAGACAGTATGATAGTTAAGGTTTTTTTTAAAAAAAAAAGATTTAATGACATTTAGATTCTAATAATTTTATAAAAAAAAACAATTGTAAATATCTATTCAAATGATTGCAAATTTAAATAAAACATTTACAAACTAAATATAATTTTTAATTTGCAACACTTTTTTTTTTTATAATTGCCTAAATCATTTGTAAGTTATAATTTAATTTTAAAATTTTATTGAAAAATCTAACTATCATTAAATTAAGAATAAATTTCATGTTTGATTGTTCAACTATCCATCAATTGCCCGAAAACAAATTGTTAGCATTTACAGTTTGACCACATAAAAATCATCCAATCTGAGCTGAAAAATTAATAAAGCAATCATTTAATGAGTCCAATTAATCTTCAAAATCAATTTCGAATAGACTAAACTAATGAAAAAATGATTTATTATTGTCAGAAATAAAGTTGACAATCAATGATAAAGATTTAAGATGTCTCAACCCATTTCACATGAGCTTAGCCTTATAAACTAATATTATATTTATATATATATAATAAAAGTTTTATATTTAAAAAACCATTGTGATCTAGATTTAACCCTGATGAGATCAGTAAATCACGAAGCATATGAACAAGATCTAAATTGTAAACTCCCAATAAATTGCTTAAATGACAAGGACTTTTACCACCCACATCATCTTTAGTTGGTAATTTAGAAAAACTATACTTATTTCCTTCTCACAGCAAGAAGAGAAAAGCAAACAAAATTATTATAAAGAATTATGAAAAGCAAGAAGAGTCCAAAACTTGCTTGTGCTTCTCCTATTCAACTAAGCTTATTTCTTCTACATAAATGGTGTGATGCATTGACTCTTAGTATCAGCTACACACTGCCTCCACTGCCAGTCTCCTAGTTAAGCTGGAAGAACACAAGTTTTTCTTGAAATTCTCTTCATTTAACTTTATGACACACTCCTTTTTGTTCAAGCACGCCTACAGAAACAATAAAACATTTAAAAAAGAAAATAACTTCTTTTAGAATGAAAAGAATAAAACAAGCATGATTACTTGTTAATATATCATTCACTCACACCCCAATATATAATCAGTAAGCAGATAGCATAGTCTAACCTTGGTAGCATGGACACTAAAGAAATTAGAGAGAATTACTCCTAGATCCCACATAATACCCTAAAATACTATGAAGTTCATGTGTGGGACCTAAGCTAATTCTCCCAAGAAATTACAAGTCCACCAACTGAATAGATAAATGCACACATCAAGTCATCTTAGATGATGAAAACCTTATATTTAAGGTGACAACTTGACTCATTTACTTGTAATTTCTTGAGGTGAAAAATTATTAAATACTCCTTAAGTAGCACATCACCTATACTCTCAACAACTAGCAGTCTAAATTGAATACAACAACAACAAGCCTTTATCCCACTAGGTGGGGTCGGCTACATGGATTGCAAGACGCCATTGTGCTCTATCATTTATCAAGCTTTTAGAAATATTATTAATTAAGAGATCGCGCTCAACAACTTCCAAGAGTGTTCTCTTAGGCCTTCCTCTACCTCTCTTAATCGGACTCAAAGTTATATGTTCCACTCTTCTCACTGGTGCCTCCCTTGGTCTTCTTTGTACATGCCCAAACCATCTCAACCGATTTTCTACCATTTTTTTCTCAATAGGTGCCACCCTCACTTTTTCGCGTACGTGCTCATTTCGAATTTTATCTTTATGTGTATGTCCGCACATCCATCGTAACATTCTCATCTCTGCTACTCCTAACTTTATGCTCTTGCTGTCCCGTTAGAGCCCAGCATTCACTACTATATAACATTGCCGGTCTGATAGCAGTGCGATAAAACTTTTCTTTAAATTTATTAGGCACCTTACAGTTGCAAATAACTCCTTTAGCTTTTCTCCAATTAAACCACCCAGCTTGAATTCTATGTGAAATATTCCCACTGATTTCGCCATCATTTTGAATAATGGCTCCCAAATATCTAAACTTTTTCACTTGAGGTATAATTTGATCTCCAATTTCACTTCCAAATTATTGTCGAATAGTCATTTACCAAATTTACAATATAAATATTCCGTCTTACTTCTGCTCAGACGAAAACCTTTCGACTCCAATGTCCTCCTTCATAACTCAAGTTTGCAATTAATCTCTTCTCTTATCTTTGCTACAAGAACTATATCATCCGCGAAGAGCATACATTTCGGAATTTCCTCTTGAATATGTTCCGTCAAAACATTTAAGATCAAGTTGAACAAATAAGGACTCAGAGATGATCCCTGATGTAGTCCAATCTTTATAGGAAAATCCTTTGTTTGACCACTAGGCGTTCTTATACTAGTTTTTACCCCCTCATACATATCTTGTATGGCTTTAATATAAGCAATCCATACTCCCTTTTTTTCCAACGCTTTCCAAAGCACTTCTCTTAGTATACGGTCATAAGCTTTTTCCAAATCAATAAAAACCATGTGTAGATCTTTATCTTTACAACGATACTTTTCCATTAATCCCCTTAGTAGATAAATCGCCTCTGTAGTTGATCTACCTGGCATAAAACCAAATTGATTCTTAGAAATACTTGTCTCCAATCTCAACCTGTGCTCAATTACTTTCTCCCACAATTTCATTGTGTGGCTCATGAGTTTAATCCCTCTATAGTTAGTACAATTCTGAATATCTCCTTTATTTTTATAAATAGGAATTAATGTACTTCTCCTCCACTCATCAGGCATTTTCTTGGACCGTAAAATCACATTAAATAACTTAGTTAACCATCTCACCCCTTCTTCACCTAAACATTTCCACGCTTCGATAGATATACAATCAGGTCCGTTGGCTCTACCATTTGCCATTTTCTTAAGAGCTTCCTTTACCTCCTTATCACGTATTATTCGATAGAATGACAAATTTTGTTCTCCTTCACCAGTTACTAAATCCTCCAAGTTACTAGATGAATCCTCTCCATCATTGAAAAGTTTAGAAAAGTAAGTCTCCCATTTATTTCTAATTTCATCATCTGTAACTAAAATTCTTCCCTCTTCATCCTTAATACACCTTACCTGTTCTAGATCTCTTGATTTTCTTTCCCTACTCTTGGCAATCTTATAAATATTTTGCTCTCCTTCCTTCGTCTCAAGGTTCTTATAAAATTCTTCAAAAGCTTTAGAACGAGCTTCACCCACAGCTCTCTTAGTTTTCTTCTTAGCCATACGGTACCTCTCTCAATTTTCCTCATTGTTACACAAATGTATGGCTTTAAAACAGTTCTTCTTATACTTGATTTTGTCTTGTACACTATTATTCCACCACCAAGTCTCCTTATCTCTCAGACCAAAACCTTTCGATTCTCCCAAAACTACTTTTGCAACCTCCTGTATCTTTTTAGCCATATCCTCCCATATGATGTTAGCACTTCCCTGAGATTCCCAAATTCCTTTATCCAAAAGATTTCGCTTGAAAATATCTTGCTTCTCACCTTTTAATTGCCACCACCTAATCCTTGGTGTTACTACATGTCGACGTTTTTGGATTTTACTCATAATACACACATCAAGGACTAGCAGTCTAAATTGAATAAATTAATTTTTTTTAAAACCTTATCAATGCACAATATTCTTTCTCTTCATTAAATATTTTTCTTCTACATTTTCTCCTACATTTGGACTAAAAAATTTTGAAGAGTGTGAATGACATGACACTTTGAGAGTATATAATAATTTCTTGACGTTGTGGCTTCAAACTCTTTCCGCTGGAGAAGTAGCATTGGATAAATAGAATAGACCTAACAGGACTTACTTGCATATTCAATCTCAAACCAAAAACAAATCATGACATGCCTTAACTGTGAAAAGTAACCTCAGAAACTGAAGATGTCATCAGAGATTTGAAGACAGTAACTTCATGTAAAGAACAAATTCCAGAAACACATACCTTTTCGACAAGTGAACTAGAATTTGGATCATGGCAATCTCCCATGCGGTAGGATCCACATGTTCCTGAAGGAGTTCCAAAGCTAGCAAATTTTATAGCAGAGATGCGAGTATCTTTGGGGCACGCTAGACGGGCAAAAGGCGTGTTTTTGTAGTTCTCAAATTTATCTTCACTCTCAAGATCAAGACCAAGGGAGGGGAAATCCTCTGCCACAAGGGCACATGCACCAGAAACTTTACGTCTCAAGAAACTAATTTTTGTTGGATCACCACCTTTCTCTTCAAAAATAACAAGAACATTTCCAGATGGCTTGAACCAAGATCTTGGAACATGATACCTGATCCATAGGAAAGAATGCATTATTTCATGAAAAGAAACAGATTATAACAGACTCTAAGACCTACCAGAAGCACATAATATTGGTAGTATTTTATATTCATAATGGATGATTTCTATTCTAAACCGTTTGTTAGATTAGCATAGTTAACACAACACACAAGTAACAAAATCTATGAGATTTAATCAGTTTTCAACTATTTCATCTTCTATCTACTAGTGATTTTTGTTTCTTGTCGACTATAGACTATAGAATAATTTAATTGCTCGATGACCTAGATCAACTTGTGCACAAACAAAAGTCTTATTATAGAACTTTTCTTGGCCCATTTCTACTATTGTTATGCAGTTTGGCAAGAAACTCTATTTCAGCCACTTGTAATTACTAGATCTCCAAGGTAAGAAAAAAGACAAGGAAAAAAATTAAAGACAGA